TACATGCATACTTGTATCTGTAACCTTGATAATGTTCTGAGGAAGTTATAATGTGAATCAATGTATGCTTAATGGAAGATAAATGTGATCCGCTCTGAAAAAAATGACTCATATGTTGCCAGAGCCATTTTGAGTTAAAGACCTGAAAGAATCTTGCACAGTGTTGAAGCAGTAGGAATCCTCAATATTTTTAAATCCACGCAATGTCCATTTCCATCCCACCGAATTCAGTGACACATCCAAACAGTGAGCAAATTCCCCAATCTACATGTAATACAAAGTAAAACTCAAAAGTGGCTTCAGTGACGTGTGACACATTTTTACAGAGCAGGTCACATATGTGTAGTTTATTTAAGAATGGTCTGATTCATTTGAATTACCAGGTCATATTCTGATAATCCGTAGCCTCACCTGTGAGTATTTTTCAGGCATATTTATGTCTTTAGTCTTTGTGCACTGTGTGTATAGGTTGTATGTGTAGGCTGTTGCATAGTGTCCCATATCAAGACATATGTAGAGTGTAGCAGTGTTTTATGAATTGCTCAACAGTCAACGTTTATTGTGTTGATGGCATGATGAATGGTTTGAAATTTTGATTGTGGGAATAAACCAAGGATAATGTTGGCAGATGACACAGTATGATTATCTGTGGAGTAGTAATTGATTCAGTGTTTTCTCATGGTATTGGCAGCCATTCTCATTCTGACTTTAAAAATGTTTAAAAAAACTCGGAAGGCTTTAAAAGTCAATTTGGATTTGATTTGGAAAGACGCTGTTCCCAGCCACAATAGCCAAGGCACTATCACATCATGTACATGCTACATTGTAACTTTGAAGTGACTTATTAACCTGGCGATATGGAAGGTAAATGAAAGGAACACTACTGCTTTCATGGCTTTGGGTTCAGAGGTGGTCCCCGTGTTACTGAATCTGGATGTTGTCGGTGACTTGCATTCTTGACATGTACAATTTTCCTGAATGACTAACATAAGTATGGACGTCACAAAGAGCTGGTGAACAATTACCTCTTATATTACCCAGGTGCCAAAGAACAGCTTTTCAAGAGAAACACGTAAGTTCCTATTAATCTACATGTGTATTGCACTGATTCCAGTCAGCTGGAAGTTGAGGTCGGGGCCTGATTTGTAAAGACTCATTTCTCAGTTGTAACATGTCTGCCATTTGTACATGAACTGTCACAATGAGTCTCAAGCAGTAAATATAAATTGAGTCTGGCCTTGTTGAAGTCACCAAGTCTTGAGTCATGATTTAGATGATTCCAGAGACATTTCACTGGACATTCTCGATA